CCGCCTGCTGCTCCTCTCAGCAGTATGTTTCATCGATCTGCCTATTCTGCTCCCCATCCTGTCTCTGGTGAATCCTCTCACTGCCCCTGCACCTCTGGCTTGTACCCCAGTTCTGTATGCACAAATAAATATTTTTTTTAAAAGTGTTAAAATATAGGACAGGAGAGGCTGATCTAAGAATATCTAGGATACTCCCATACTAATTGATGTCATTCTTTCTTCTCATTAGTTTTCTTTCTACTCTTTCTGGTAAGACATGCTCTTCAAAATGCCACAGGAATTTGTTCGGAAATAGATTTTCCCTTAAAACTGTGTAAAGTCCATTTTGTTTTGGATGGAGGGGGATAGATAACTAAACCTTCTATGAGAGACAGAATGATACCCTGAAATGGCGGCCCTCCTGGTAGCATAGGGGTTAAAGTCTCAGCACTGTGAAGCTATTGCAGTGGCTGAGGCTGAGTTCCACCCCTGGCCAGGGGGGGACCCCCAGGGCTCAGCAGACCTACCCATCTCCCCGCTGAGCCCCTCAGCAGTATGTTTCAGACAATCTGCCTGTTCTGCTCCCCACTCTGTCTCTGGGGAATCCTCTCACACCCAACACCTCTGGCCTATACCCCAGTTATTGTATGCATAAATAAATAAATCTTAAAGGACTAGAAAGGAGCCTAAATCAAGCTCACCTACGTGCCTCCTGCACTTCCATCTTAGCCAATGGAATACTACCTTTGGTCAATCAGCCCAGGATTATTATCTTTATTCTGGAAAAGCAATAGGATGGTATCTCATCTCAACACTCTGTCCAGTAGATGTAGCCTGTTACATGACGATCAACCATTAGCATTCACATCAGAGAGAATTCAGCACAGCACTCTAAAGATCATGCCAAGGTCACACATTACAGGCAAGATTAAAACTTAGATGTATTGCTGAAGCAAGAGAGCCCTGCTGACTTCAGGGTGTCCAGAATGGATGAACTGGACTAGGTTCAGCAATAGCCTCAATTCTTTACATATTGCCACATAAGCATAACTAAAATAACAGAATCGAGTATAACAGCAGGCAACATAAAAAACTTCACTCTCTGAAAATCCTGAAACCGGAGGGATCTGAGGGTGAATAGGCCTTAGCAAAAACAACATTCACATTTACAAACACCTTCACTTCATATGATGCTTTCATAACTCTATCTCACAAGATCTAAAAAAATTTTATTGATGCAGGCAGGGCAGGTTGAGCTAATTTACCTTCCATGCCAACTGGCCTCCTAACTTACGTGATTTGATTCTCTGTCTTGTTTTCATTGAGTTCACAAGTAACTATGTTCAGACATGAAGAACTGGAGATAAAGAACCTGGTCCCTGACTCCAAAGAGTTTCAATAATTTTAAATGCAACGACTGCTACACAAAAGAGCAGCGTGGCATGGGAAGGGTAGAGACCCCTAACCCAGAATGGAAGGATTCCACTCTAAGTGGCTCACGTCTGAAGGACGAGTACACGCCAGCAAGGCACAAATGAGAGCGGGTGAAGGGCTTGTGGTGAGTAAACAGCAGATGCCTGAATCTTCAGCTAGGAGACGGCATGGCGCTTTCACAAGAGAACAGCACAGTAACCCGACAAGCGCAGCGCTGTGCCACGGGCAGTGAGTGAGTCAGTCAGCACAGTAGAGAGCCTGCTATGCATCGGGCCTGTCTGTGCAGACAGTGGGTAACAAGAGTCCTGGTCTTTCAGAGCTTATATGTTAGGGGCCCTCCCTGGTGGCACAGTGGGTTAAAGCACAGCACTGGGAAGCCGGCCACAGCCGCCTCAGCACAAGTTTGATCCCTTGCCTGGGAGGTGACCCACAGGGCACGCAGACCTTCCTGTCTTGCCCGCTGCCCCCTCCGCAGTGTACTTCATTGATCTCCTATTCTGCTCCCCACTCTGTCTCTGGTGAATCCTCTCCCCACCCCTGCCCCTCTGGCCTGTACCCCAGTTCTGTATGCATAAATAAATCTTAAAAAATAAATTTTAAGAGCTAATATGTTAGATGTGGAGAATAACGATAAATAGATAAATAATTGTAATTTGAAGTAACCTAAGTACTATGAAGAAAGTAAAGTAGTTTTGTAGTAGTGAGTGGGAGGCTGCTTAAGCTAGTGTGGCCTTTCAGCGGGATCACAACTGAGTTGACAGGTCTTAATGGAAAGAGAAACCACCATTGACAAATCGGAAGGAAAAGCCCACACGGGGGAAATAGCCATCACAGATGCCCTGTGATAGGTGGTTTACTGAAGAGAAAGGCCAGTGTGTCTGCAGGATGGAATGGGGAGCATTGAGGGAGATGTGGTCAGAGATAGGCAGGCATCAGATCATGCAAGGCCCGCAGGCCACTGTAGAGGCCGGACTCAATGTTTTCATAAAGGGAAGTGGAAATGCTCTGACACGTTTTAGAAACAGCACCCTGGCCGAGGAGGGAGACGAGCCAGGAGAGGACAGGGGCAGAAATGAGGAGATCAGCTGGGAGGTTTTTCCTGGACTCAGGAAAAAGACGGTGACTTGGACTTAGGGATTCCAGTGGTTAGCCAACAGCTGGAGTCCAGGTATATTTAGACTGATGGACTAGAAGTGGGAATTTGCGTTTCCAGCCCCTGCAATTAGGTGGATGCTGGGACATAGCCTTTACTGAGAGGCAAAGACATGTGCAGAGAAAAACCAGTAGTTCTGTTTTGGTTAAGTCTGATAGGTCTGTTCCAGCGGTTCTGCCCAGGGGGCAGCTCCCTAGTGTGCAAGGGATGGAAATACAAACGAGCCTCAGTTTCTGCCCTAGGTGAGCAGCAGATCCGATCACCTGGAAAGTAAGGCGAGGGGATGAGGCCTTCACCGGCCTTGCGAGAGAGCAGCAAGCAGATGCTGAGGGTACAGCAAAAGGATGAGCGACCACCAGTTTGAGTTAAAAAAAAGCAAACAGACCCGTCCCGTTGTAACAAGGGAAATAACCCAGAACTAGAGCAGATGCAACAGGCCCAGGCAGGGAAGGCGGTGACTCTGGGCAGAAGCTGAGTAGCCGGTCTGTGTGGGGACAGCGGGGACAAAAAGGGGGTGACGGTCGGCCGGATCAACTAGTTGCTTGCACAACTAACTGAAGAGATGAAAATGCACCCACTGAGTCGGTGTTGGCGGCCAGCACGAGCCCTGCTAGGACAAGCCAGTGCTGAGGGGCCAGCGAGCTAGAGACCCCTCGGGCTGCTGCGTGCTGCTGCCTCTGCGGTCCAGGGCAGGAACCGAAGTCCCGGGAAGTCGGGTGGGCCGTGGCGTCCACCTGCCCGCTTCCCAGGGGCCAGGCCCCGGCCGCCCGGTGCCG